GCTGACAGTCCCAGGTACTCCTACCTCACCCCTAGGTGCCCAGGACCTAGCGCCTGTCACAGGGACACAGGTTATTATTTTATTTTATTTTATATTTTATTTTATATATTTGCTTTGTTTTAATCCATGAGTAATCCACAAATTGCCTTCATGTACTCTGAAAGCTGCTGGGAACTACTGAGTCCTACTCATTTTCTTTCTATACACATGATGGAGGGGAATTTATAAGGAGCCTTGCCATGAAAAAAAGTTGAATTAATTTATAATAATTTTGTTACAGGTGGACTGGTAAAAAACAAGATTCTAATATCCTGATTGCGGACCTTTTTCATTCTAGGTGAACTTCTAAGAGGTCTCAGTGAGAGACTTAGGACTAGTGGTTATTTGTTAATATGTCTGGGAAATTAGTTCTATGGTGGTTTCTTCTTGAAGGGAGCTCCAATCTCCTTTCTTCTCTTGGAATTAGGAGCCTATTTGCATCACTTGTCCCATATGGTGACTATATAAAGCAGAGACCAGAGCTTTAGGTCACACAGCCCTCTTAAAGGGCTAGGTAGTTTTGCAATGTGAGAAGCACAGTGGCCCATCAGTTCAGCTTGAGCCAGATGCATTAGATGAGGATGGAGCTGTAGGGGAAGATCTACTAGTCTATGCAGCATGAACATCTGAGAGTTGAGGGTCTGGGGCTGCTAACCAGAGGAGAAAGTGCCCAAAACACTGGCTTAAAGTCTGGACCATCTTCAGGGTTGCCCCTTTGGACACAAGCTTTCTGCTTGGTCTGACTCCAGAGGCTGCCATACCTCAAAACCTTGAGCTGACTACCCTGGAGAACAAGTGATAGATAAAAATGGGGTGGGGTGGTGTGAAGTATGGTGACCTTCAGCTGTTGAACTACTTCCTTTCACAGGTGTTCTAATGCTTTTACCATGGAAAAAAATATTTCGGCTGTGTTAGTGTGTAGAAAGTGTCTAGCTTCTGTTTCTAGCTGTCTGGCAAGATGAAAATCTTTAGGATATCTCTGAATTGTCCTTGTCAAGCCTACAACTGGGAATGTTTCTGCTGAGATGGAGCCTAGCAAAGAGTAACTCTTAATAAATATTTGCTGAGCAATGAATAAGTAAATGAGAAAAACAAACCTTAGGAACTACAGTCAAAGCCAATCAGAATAGAATTTTATTCATCCTTTTAGCTTCTCTCTCTTTTCCTCATCACCTCCTTCCTTTTACTATCTTTTCACTTCTTTCTTTACCCATATTTACTCCTAGTCTCTGTTTTTCCTCCTTCTGCCCCTTTCTCTCTGACCCCACACGGGAGAGCTGACACATTCATGCCACTTGAACTTAGGTTATCCTTCAGGACTCCAGTTTCCTAAACAGGTCAGTCTTTGCTCCCAGGGTAATAGATTTTGTAAACCTGACTTTTTCTCTGTTTCCTTTGGGCTTATGTGGCTTTGTAGTCTTCTTCTTGTCAAGCACTGCGAGTCACGTGGCCTGGGTGCCTGCGAGGGTGCTAGGTACCTGAGTGGGTGTTGGGTGTACTTGGGCAAATGACAACCTCCCTGTACACTAGTTTCTCCACCTCTGAACTGAGGGGTTAGACTAAATGATTTAACGTGGTCCCTTTCAGCTCTAAGGTTTTCCCCCCTTGTGAACTAGATCCACTGGTATATAACATCTTTTGGCATTCTGAATATATTTATGGTTGAAGTATATTTATAAGATTTTGACACAATTTAAACAGTTGTCCACAGATGATCACCACCACAGGAAGGAAAAGGATTCTATGCTAAACCAAACCAGTCTCAGGCACTAAGGGCTTGAAGGTTATATTCAAGAGCTCTGAGGGTTTGTGTGTGTGTGTGTGTGTGTGTGTGTGTGTGTGTGTGTGTGCGCGCGCGCGCTTAATTTCCTTAACCACATAACCGCATGCTGAATAAAGAAACATGAAATAGCTGTTTATACTAGCACAGTTCTTTTCGTCCTACACTCCCTGGAAAAATGTACTAAAAAAAAAAGTACTGCTGAGAAAGATTCCAAACAAACACATTTTCTAGTAAGTGGAGGAAGGAGCTAGTAGTGAGATTTGAGAGGCAGTAGATACTTACCCTCTCACTGATCTGCCTTCATATGTATCCTAGAATTCCCATCATTAGAATTCCTATCATTAGGACAGCCCTATCTCCTGAGAAGCTAATATCATCATAGATAGGCAAGAACATACTCAAAGGGACTGAGATGCCACAGAGGGAGACTGATAGGGACAGGGCTCTGCTCAGTGGTAGCCCAGATAGTCTAGGAGTGGGGTTTCCAAGGTCGATGGGTGAGGTGGGTGAGGGCAATGGGCCTACTGGAGGGCACCACCAGCTACCAAGGGATCTGCGAAGTGGGGGCAGAAGTTGAATTTAGCTTAATTTGTAGGCCCAATGTTTCAACTCTTTATTGCTTTAGTTATTGGGGTCAAACACAGAAGCTTTATTTCAAAATGCTATTGCTTTAAATGTGGTTTCATATGGTCCAAGAGGAAAGCAGGAAGTTCAGTGAAAGGAATAAATGACAACAGGAAATAGACTCATTCACGTAGAAAAACTTTAAAAGGAGCACAATGCTGGTCCTGTGTTATAAATGAACAAGAAGGCTAAAGGAGGCAAGTGTAATCTTGATTTCAGCTGACATTTGGAATTACCCTTAGTCTTCTTTGCAGTGTAAAGGTCAGAACACACCACTTCTGAATTTTACTGCTAACCACAAGGAGAGAGAGGGTGCCCGGTTCTTCCAGAGTTAGGATTTTTAACCTTTCAGGGTAATCACTGATCCTCATTGAGGAATTGAAGAGAGCTGTGGACTCTTTCTTCAGAACAATGTATGTGATGTATTTACATACCCACACAGACAATATTATATACAGTTGTAGGGATTCTAGAAGGGACCTGTCTTATTAACCTTTTTACCCTTAATGCTAGATACACAGTAGGTACCCAAGAAATATTTATTATGTAATTGAGTAAATAAATGAGTAGGGCATTATGTTTATGTAAAATCATGATCGAAATGCAAATATTTTGGATAGGACTAGATAAAGTTTTAGCATCCACTAATATGAATTCATTTATCATAGTGATTTTCAACTCTAGCTGTATATTACATCTCCTGGGGGAAGCTTTGAAAAATATTGATGCCTGAGCTCCACCCCAGAACAACTGACTGAAAATTGAAGGGTGTGGGGCCTGGGTATTGGTATTGCTTAAAAGCTCTTCAGCTGATTCCAATGTGCAGACAAAAAATCAATGTAGCTGGTTAAACGCTATATAATTTAGTAGAGAGAAAAACTATGAAGATGTGGATGTGATAACTAAGCTGTCATGGAGGAAACCAGGAATTAGAAGAAAAATGGTCATCTTTTCCAAGCACACAGATCATTACATACTGCTGTCATATGCACAGTATGATCCATATCCCAAAGACACACTGATAGTGAAGCCACACAGATATTTCCATTTCCAAAAAGCCCAACTCAGAGGCCTGGAGTGGGGTCTGGATATCTATACTTTTATAAACACAGATGATTGTTCCATGGCATGGCCAGGTTTAGAGTAGCAGCTCTAAATTGGGAGTGGGGTGGAGGAAGGGGCAGTAGAGGAGGCATGTCAGTCAGAATTACCTGGGGAGATTTTTCGAAGTGCACATATGTGAGACCCATCCCAGATCTATGGAAGCAGAAGGCAGGGGTGGTATCAGAGAGTGAATATACAGAAAATGCTTGATTCTAAAACCACTCTCACCTCAACTGAGAACCAGCACACATGGGACACTTCTTGGATGCTCAGGCACTGGGGATGCTGCTATGGTGGTGACCTCTGACCATCCAGAGGACTGGGCCCTGGGCAGGGACTGGCATGAGGGGAAGGGAAGGCAATTATATACTGAAAGTATGTAGGACGGCACTAAAGGCAGGTGGAGATGACAAAAATAAGCCTGGCTCACTTCACAGTTTTGCCCAGGGCTGGCCCTGGTACAGAATAACTGCAGACAAGCTTGCAGGGACAAAAAACAGAGCAGTTTCCAAATCACTTCTATTTTCCCCTGACCTCAGGCACATATGTCAACCCTGAAAGTGCCAGGTGCCCATCTCTGCCATGCGTCCACATGAAAACACCTGAGAGAAACCACCATCAGGGCAGGCAGAAACTCCCCTCAAAAGGATCCTGGCAGCAGTCCAGCGAGGGTACCCTTACTGGGCTGATGGAAAGAAATAGTAGGGATGTCAATGTGAGGCATCGAAAGACAGAATAGCTGGCAAGCTTGTTTAAAGGATGCACAGCACTGCTCTCCTCTGAGAGATGGAATAGTTAATCGGTGCCCCTGAAATTTAGCTAGGGTCATTCTTTCACTTTGTTCTCAATTTTACCCTCTTTGGCTGGTAGACTTCTGGGGTCCATTTTGATTTCTTTAGTGGTGTGTTCTGATATAGATTCCCTTTTGAGATAGTGAGGTAGGGTCATGAGCCACGGTTTTCATGCTTCAGCGTAGAATTCAGGGTCACCTGGATTACTGTGCTTTGGAGAATTTGGAAAGAAGAAGAGAGTCAGTCTAAAGACTGAAGGGATTTTACTAGTAAGTCTTTGAAAGTTGATCCTGGTGTACTGTGAACCAGTGACAGCACTGAGATAAAGAAGGAGAGAGCAAAGGAGGTACGTGTAGAGTGTGTGTGTGTGTGTGTGTGTCTGTGTGTGTGTGTGTGTGTAAACCAGCCAAGGCAGATTCTGCCTAATATTCTATAACTCCTCCACCTCTGTATCTTGGTACGGTTTCCTCTCAACAACTGATGCACCCAAATCCTCCAAAGTGACAGGTTTGCTCCCGCCCCTCTGGATATGAATGGCAAGAAGAAGAGTAGCATGAATCTTCCTTGCTCTGTCATACGTATAAACTCTGCATCAGTGCTAAGGCTGTAGCTTCGATAGTTCCCTCTTCCAGATCTGACACACTCAGAGAATTGGTAACACTGCTTTATACGATTCAAACTTGAAACAAGTCCTCACCTGGACTGCCCAGTGGAGAGCCGTTTTAAAGTCTTTATCCACAAGGGTGGGGTCTGCCCCCTTCTTCAGCAGCATTTGGGTGTGTTGAGGCTGGTTGTGGAAAGCTGCCCAGTGGAGTGGTGTCATTCCCTACAAAACCAAAATCAGAGGGTGCAGAGATGAACACAGGTTACCAGGGAGGAAAATGGAGCTCACACTTTCTCCCCAGGGCAGGGAGCCATCATCTGATATGTTGGTTGCTGCCTGTCAGTTCATTCATTCCTTAAATCATTCATTCAACTCATATTTATTGGGCTTCTGCTTTGTGACAGGCAAACAGGTATTGAGGATACTATAGTGAATAAGATAAGATCCTCGCCTTCATGGGGATTGCACTGAAGTAGAAGAAGACAGACAATAAATGCACACAAACGAGCCAAAGGATTTTCCAGATCGCTGAGTGCTATGAAGAATGCACATGGAGTGCTGTGACCGAGTAACTGTGGAGGCAGGAACTGTTCGACATGGGCCTCTGCAAGCTGGGCTTGGGGAAGAGACTAGCAAGCAGCAAGTCATGGAGGCAGGCACCTGTGACTGGAGGCATGCTAAGAGGCCACCTCCCACCATGAGGGCAGGGACACTGTCTGTTTTACTGAAGTATCCCCAGTGACCATAACAGAGACTAGAGAAATAGCCATTGAATGAATAAATGAATAGGGAGAGGAGGAGAGCCATATCAGACGAGGTTGGAGGAGAAGGCAGGGGCTGATCCTGGCAGTATGGAATGAGAGATACTGGTCCTGTATAAGGCATTTGGATTTTATTTTAAAGTTAAAGGAAAGACAGTGAAAGGTTTTAAGCAGACATTGATACACTATTGGGCAGAAATCACTCGGTGGCAGCTTGGATAACAGATCTGGATGAGTCAATCTGGTGAATCCCAGTTTCTTTCAGAGCTTAAGGTGACACACTTTAGGCATCATTTAATAATAAAATGAACTTATGATGAACTTTTCTCCTTGCCCATACCTCTTAATTACATAAAATATATCTAAAATGACTCTAGATCATAGCAAAGGAGCAAAAGGTGTGGGCAGCTTTAAAGCTTCTTCTTTTTATATTAATTTCTGCAGATAACATAAAGATAGGTATCGCTACCTTGGCCTTCATCCACGATGAGCTGAGTGGAAGAGATGGGCCTCGGCCTAGTTAGGAGTACAGGGTTAATATCCCAGAGTTAATTTTTATTGATCCAGAGACCTCTGTGAGTTCTTATATGTATTATCTCACTTAATCCTCCACACAATGTTCTGTCTTCCTCTTCCTCCAGGGCACACAGTCTGCATTCTCTGGCCTCCCAGCCGATAGGTGTGGCCATGAGGCTGAGACTGAGTCCTGACCACTGCAATGTGGACAAAAGGGGTAGAAAGAATGGAAGCCCCCTCCCAGCCTGCCTAGAAAAACAAAACCGATGTAATCTTAAATGCATTTTCTCTTTCTTCATCTGACAACTGAATGCAGAGAAGGGCAAGGCTTGAGAAGGTGCTGGAATCATGTGATTAAAATGTCTGGGGCCCTGACTGACCAAGTAGAACATGGCCACCTCATCAACCAGCACTGGACTATGATTCAGGCAGGAAATAAGCTTATACTGTGTCAGGCCCCTGAGATTTTGAGTTGTTTGCTATAGCAGTTAGCCAACTTTGACAGGTTCCATTCTCCTCATGTTATGGAAGAGGAAGCTGAGCACTAGAGAAGTCCCCAAGTCCACGAGTGAGCATGAAACTGAATCTAGGGTTTGAGGTTTGTGGGGCACTGGGATTAAATGTTAAATCCTCTTGACCAGTTCCATATTCTAAATAATTAAATTATGGTCGGTTTTCAAGTTTCAAATTTCATTCATATAACACTGAGCCTCCAAAGATACTCTTGAGGATATTTTAAGAAATTGGTTCCATATGGAAACGAATGCTTGACTAAAAGCAGAGAAACTTCTTGTTGTTTTTTTTTTCTACCAGCTGAATATTTACTCATGATTCAGAATAGCTCAGCGCATTTCAGTGAGTCCTCTTCATTTTTAATTTGGCCCACTAGGGTTAGAAATCTTAAGCAAAGAGAATTGCTTCAGTCATTGGCTTCACCTTGAAGTGCTGACAGTATCCAGGGTGAAAGACACCAGAAACAATTTTGAAGTCCATGGAGTATATAAGCTTCATGAGGGCAGCTCCTTGTCTGGCTGTCAGACTCCCTGGAGCCTAGAGCAGTGCCAAGCACATTGTACATGCTAAATAAATACCCATTAAAGGAATGAATGACTTCTCACTACTCTTGATTGAAGTTTTGTTTTTGTAAAATTTGGCTTCACTTTTTAAAATCATACACACAAGAAAGGCAGAACATGACTTCTTTACGGAAAATGAACTTGTCTGATATGATCACTGTTACTAAACCATCAATGGAAACCTGTTAGAATTTTTAATGAGTGCTCCAAGCGAGGTAGAGGACAATCACTATGTCTGGAGACATGATTGGTGATGTGAGAATTCAGCGTAAAAATGTGGATGTGAATTAAGCTGTGATTATGCACTGCTAACCCTTATTTTCTAAACATAGTAGCTAGGCTTCAAGAGTTATTCTTTCAAAACAACATCCTCCCTTTTAAAAAAAAGCATGCAACTCCTGCATGCTTTGGTAAAGAAGTGCTGTTAGGAGGAGAAGCACTACCCGTTTTCATATATCTACTTGGTACCAAGAGCTTTATATATGTTACCTCACTGAATCTTTTTATTTTAGGTAAGGAAACTGAAACATAGACAGGTTAAGTAATTTGTCTAAGACCATTGACATGGCAGAGTTGGGATTCAAATCCAGGTCTTTCAAACTGTGGAGAAAAAATTTTTCTTCCACACATCATGCTGGTAGACTTTCATTTTGGAAATGAGCTCAGATGCCAGAAAATTCTTTTTATTGTGATTTTATCTGGATTTTGAATCTTCTCACTTCATAGAATGGTGGTTCTCATTAGTGCAAGGGTTGCCACCCTATATTATTATTTGTGTCATTTGTCATTACCTCTAGGCCTCTCCCAAAAGTGCAGCTGGCAAATATTTATTTTTGTAAGGTATTGAAATATATATATTCTCTCCCTGCTTGACCCCCAGCCTGGGAATTTGGGATCTCTGTTAGAAGCAACTGTTGATCCTCTAAATGGCCTCAAATTCAGACATGAATTACTCCATTACTTCTCTAAACAATAATATATAATATACATAATACATATTATATATATGTATATATATATATACACACACACATTGTATATTTATATTACAATATAAACAGGTTGCATACATTCAGTCAAGTCAAGGGAAATTTCCTGTTCTTATTTTTTTCAATTGGGCTGATGAGAAATAAAAATAAGTCTCCTTAGAGTTAGTAATATGAAAACCAAAACTTTCAAAAACAGCTCAAGTGCAGCTCTTGTTGTTGCACAATGCTTTGTTTAGGAACTGTTTCCTACAACTGCCTCCTTCTCGACTTCCTTCAGCTTCTGCTGAGCTGGCAGGCATCTTCATTCTGTTATGTTAAGACTCCGGTGGCCATTTAAGGGGCAGACTTCAGGCTTGGCAATGGGCATGTGCTCTGAGCTGTGACAGAGATTGTGACTAAGCTGTGATGCGCTTAAAGGCAGAGGCTGGGGCTTATTCACTGTGGGATGCCCACTACGCTGAGAACACAGTAAGTGTTCAAGAAATGTTTGCAGGAAGAATGAGTTAGTGAAGTGCAGGTTATCAAGGTTCCCTTGAGCTTACAGGGAATATAAAATATCAGAGTCTGGCCTATATCCAAACTGTGTATACTCTCGTTACCAGCTACTTGAGGACTTCATCGAGGACTCAGTTGGGCTGTCAAAGCATCTAAGGGCTGAAAACCTAGGAGTCACTGGCAGAGTCATTGCAACACACATCCAGATGGTCCTTGTGACAGTCAAAATCCACTTTTTTGAAAAACAAAAATTATTAGTAAAGACTGAAGAGTAACTCATATTCAGTGAAGAAAACAACTCTCCAGAATGTTGCGAAGGAAAACATTGTTTTAGTTGACTTAGGATCCATCTTGAGATTGCCGATAGGACTAAATGTATGTTGTAACTGTTGGGTGCATAGCAGGGTTGCTTTGGAACAGCACTCTTATGCATATGAGTAATTCTGTACCTTGAGACTGTGCCACCAAAATTTCAGTTGAGGGCTTATAAGTCCTATCAGCTTCTCATAACTTTTTTTTCTTTTTCCAAAACCACTGTAACTTTTGTGTTTTCTGAACCAGAATTCTGACTAAGTGGTTAGCAGTTTTCAGTGTTTCAGAATGGCACTTTTAGACAGGCTCTGGCAGATACCGAAAGGCACAGAGAGAGAAATGTGTGACTTTTTCTGGAGTTTAATAATTTGATTCTCGATCCGTCTGTGTCTACCATCTATCTATTAAATATATATATTTGGGGGGCACTAGTATATGCAACTTACTGAACTAAATTCTAGAGATACAAAGATGAAAAAGACATGGTCTGCCTCTAGAGACTTATGGGGGAGTGGCGGATGGGGGAGAGAGAGAAATGAGGGTTCCTGGGTAGTAGTGACTTCTCCTTTTTTCTGAAGTGCTCATTTTTAGGATAAAAATTCTGGCACATTGAAAAAAATTGTTCTATTATTTTACCTTTTGCTAAATGTAAAGTAAAAAGATTTCTAGAGTCAGGGACTGTTTTTTGTTTTTTGTTTTTTCCTTTATATTGTACAATCTCTGCTTGTGATTATATTTTAGGAATGTTATAAGAGGATTTGGTACTAAGAACTACATCCAAAGGTTCACATCTGTTTTTGCAACTTGGATTTATTTTCTCAACTGCTGTTATAATGGAAGTTTGAATTGTCAAACCAGTCACAAAACTCTACTTAAATCAGAACATTCATTTAATAGAGGATCAATAATATATCCTAAATACCATGCATAATAGTACTTCTCTGGATAAATGTAAAACTCTAACCCAAATGCCAATAGCTCTTAGCCCCTCCTGTTGGGGTGCTCTTCCTGTCAAAGCTAAAATGATAGCAGGAGAGAGGTTAGATTTCAGGAATTTAGTAACTTGATAACTTCCTGTTGCTGCAATGTGAAGGCTTCTCTCTATGTCAGTGATTTCCTCTAAGGTCCAGAAGAACAAAGGCAAGAAGGACTATCTGACTTATTTCATTTTTCCCACAGCGTTAAACTCTGCAGCATGGATTGTTTCTAAATAAGTCACTTTATTAGCAGTGTGTTTAGTGTAAGAGGAAAAAAAAAACAAAACCATATCATTGGAACAGAACAAAGAGTTCAGAAATGGAACCACATATTTAAAAAAGAAATCTTGTAACAAACTAAAAGCATAGTGTAGTCATGTCCCTGGGGGTAGGGAAGGCCTTTAAAAAGATGCCTAAAACAAAAACAGTAGTGAATAAGAATGATCATTTTGATTATATTATATTTTACAATTTCTGTAAAGAAAAGACATCATGAACAATTCTAAAATAAGGAACAAACTGAAAAAATATTTGCAACCCAAGAGCAGACAAAAAAATTAATGTTCAAAATATAAAATAAATACCTGTGAATCCATAAGAAAATGACAAGTAACCCAAACAGATGAATGGACAAAAGATCTAAACAGGCACGTCACAAAAGAAAATATTTAAATGACCATTATACCTATGAAACTATGCTCAATCTCATTAGTTATCAGGGAAATGCAAATTAAACCAATAACAAGAAAATTCAACCATGGGAAAACAACAAGCACCCTTTTACCCTGTGGGTGGAGCTATAAATTGATACAGCCATATTGGAGAATAGCCATGCATGGGTATTAAAAATAAAAATGTACACTTTCTACTGCCCAACAATTCTTTTTTGAGATAAATGTTTGTATATAATACTCAAGGAGGCTTACACAAGAACACTCTTTAGAGTAATGTTTGTTGTGAACAATTGGAGACAACATAAATATTTATTCACAGGGGAATAGCAAAACAAGCAGAGGTATTTTCATAATACAGTAGTCCCTCCTTATCCACAGGGGATATGCTCCAAGACCCCCAGTGGATGCCTGAAACCAAAGATTATACCAAAACCTACATATACTTTGTTTTTCCTGTATATACATATCTATGATAAGGTTTAATTTATATATTAGGCACAGTAAGAGATTAACGATAATGACTAATAACGTAGAACAATTATGTCAATATACTGTAATAAAATTTATGTGAATGTGGCATTATTAAAACAAGGGTTTCTTGAACACAAGCGCTGCGATACTGGGATGGTCAATCTGATAACCGAGACAGCTTCTAAATGACTAATAGGTGGGTAGTGTACACAGCGTAGGTACACTGGACAGAAGGGTGATTCATGTCCCGATGCAGAACAGTGTGAGATTTCATCACACTACTCAGAACAGCACACAATTTAAAACTGATTAATTGTTTATTTGGGGAATTTTCCGTTTAATATTTTTGGGCCTCAGTTGACTGCAGGTACTTGCACCTTGGAAAGTGAAACTACTGTTAAGGGAGGTACTACAGTATGAAACATTATAAAGCCATTAAAAGGAATGAGCCAGGTCTATATATATCAACATGAATAGAGCTCTCTGACATATTCTTGAGTGAGAAAACAAAGCCGCAGAACAATATATAGAGTATGGTACCTTTTATGTTATACTCCAGAGCATCTATGAACACATATAAAAGATAAGGAAAGAGACATAAAACAGTGATTACCTGGGGGCTAAGGTGGCAAGATGGAAGTAGTCAAGGATTTCCTACTATTACTTGTAATATTTAAATGTTTAAAAAGCAAATGTGTTCATGTATTTCATAAATAAAAACTAATAATACAAAAAATTACTTTAAGTCACTGAGCTCAGATAAGCACAGCCTCTAAAAATATATTCATTTTCACCTCCCTGATATAAAGTATTGTCATATTTTGTTTTACTTGAGCAGTTATAGAATGGATTCAGAAACATACTTTTTTATCCCCAATCTCTTTCCGTTCTTTCATTTTTAGTTTACAGTCTAATATATCTCTTAATGACTTTGATTTCTACTAACTGATCCTTTAATCTTTATCTATTATTGTGACAAGCTTGGGAGTCTTTCAGTTATTCTTGAAAAATAATTTCATTCAAACTAGTTTCATTCAGAGTAGGGATATGCCTTACTTACTCTTTCTCCTTGAAATTAGGAAAAGTGTAATGCTTCACCAGCACTAACTTACCTTTTCTCTCATTTCTTTTGCCTTTGCTGTTTTCTGCTTCTCGTTTTTTCTTTTTTTAAGCAGATATAGGGTGTTGTTTGTGCCTGTGCTTTAATTGTTACTCCCTCATATGTAATGGAGGCTGCATTGTGCTTGGAGCTCATGGGAAAAATATTGAGTGACAGGAAGAGTAGGTGTTTGCTTGTTCAGAAGCCAAATGCAGGAACTCTACTAAGGTAATGAATAAAAAAGAAAGCCTGGGCTACGTTCTTTCCGTTTCAGAATTGTCCTTATTTCTCAATGGCAGAGAGCTTCTAGCCCTTGCATATCTATAAGAATTGGCGTACACTAACAATGACAAATATCGATCTAAAATTAAAAACACAGACAAGCATTACAGTTGGCTTCAGATTGGTTTCAGATATGCAGACATGCTGTGACACGGCCCGAAGAGGAAGCTGCAACACTGGATAGGAAGTGTTCTTTCTCTTTTTTTAAAAAAAATTATTTTATTATTAGTTACAAGTACGAGGCCCCTGCTCTCTGCATTTAAAAGGCAAGGGTCAAAAAGTTGGTTTATCAGCAGAAGGAAGGTCCTCTGAGAGGTCACTTTGCATGAGAAGAAACAAGAGACTTTCCCAGTATTTACCATATATTGTCCAAAATGTGTTACTATTACTGCTGTTAGGAAGATCTGTGTCTACTTTCATTGTCTGCACCAGCCAGGGGCCTCCCAAGATGGGAAAAAAATAGAGAACTGTCACTTTGCTGGGTAATGTTTGTTCAGCTGAGGGGTGGACAGAGATGGAAGTCTATAAGGGGAATTTAGCTTGAGGGTATGAATGACTAAATTTGCTCCCTTTCCAATAAATTTGCCCAATTTTTAAAAATTTGTCCCAAATTTGTTTGGGGGCTGAGGGTAGGAGTTGGAGGTGGAGGAAGGGGTTAGTGACTTGCCCAAAGTCTAGAAGTTCATTGATCAGCTGGCATAAACTGTAACCACTCAACCTGCCTTTCACACCATGGGCGGAGTGAGTGATCGGAGTATGCTTTCTCATCTCTGGTTCTTGTTTTTAAAGCAGAAGTTTAAAACAGTGCCATCCTCTCTCTTCTGGTGTTTTGCTTTAAACCACTGAGGACATGGGGAGTGAAAGCAGTGTGTGACCACTGAGTTGGGAGGCAGCCAACCTCAAACCCAGGCTGTGAAGCAGGGACTTTTTTGGTGTGGTTATTAACGCCAAGCTAGGAGGAGGCCTCGAATTAGAAGACTTGAGAAAGGCTGGGGTTGGGGGCCATTTGGGGGCTTCCTCCATCCCATTGTCTATCGCCAGTTGGCTTCCTTGACAAAGTATAATTTGGCATTTTGAGGCATATGCATTTTCATTGCTATCAGACTTTCTTAAAGTTATTAGACATTCTTAGTGAAGTGCTGCCAAACCAAGCGTATATTTATAAAAATTTTCCATTAAAAACTAGGTATTTAAATTGGGTTTATGAAGCTCGTTAAAGAAATCAGGCTGGCTAATGAAAGTCAGTTTGGCTTTCTAAAAGAGTTAAGTAGTAGGTACAACAAGACCCCAAGCTACTCTGGGGCAGCTCTGCCTAGTGTCTGATCTACTCTTCCTCAGGAACTGTGTTCAAGGACACTGCACTGTCTTCTTGGAGGACAGCCTTGGACAGGATTGCCTTTGCAACATAAAGGAAATGGTAATTGTGATCATTGGCATTAATAATGTGGCCTCTGGAACAGGAAGCCTGTAGTTATTATCTATCTGACATCTTTCACTGTGAGAAAGTGTCAGCAGCCATAACTTGCCATTGAAGTTTTGGGACTCAAGAAGACAGGAAATGTCCAGAAGGAAATTACGAAATTTCAGTGGTATGATAAATGCTTAAGTATTTAATGCAATAAACCTCCTCTTGCTGAAGTCGCCCATACCCACAGTAGGGATAAATTTTTCCTGAGGATGAGTAGTAGAGACACAGGCTTTCCTCTCAGGGTAGGAACACAAAGATGTGCTCCATCTGCTTCTTGCACATTTATGAGAGGAGGCTCAGTGGTTCAGAAAAGGCCCTCCTCTCGCCCTGATGTGCACACCGGGAAACTGTTTTTTAAGAGGGCAGGCTCACCTCATTGTCCTGGTGATTAATCTCGCTGAAATTTGACTGCTGCACCAGGACTGTTAAGAGCCTGTAAAGAAAAACAGAAGAGGCTCAAAAGAACAGAAGTTGTATGAGAACACAACATTAGAAGGCCTCCAAATGAAGACGGGCCCTTTTCAGTCAGTTAGGAAAAAAATCCATAGAAAAGAAGCTTGCATGACAGGGAAGAAGGCACCTGGGAGGCATAGAATATCTCTGTCTCTTCTTCTTCCCTCTCCTCTGAATCTTAGTGCTTCTAGAGGGGCCAAAGGGAATGGAGAAAGTAAATCTTTGAGCTCATCTTATTCACCAGACCTGTGCTCCTATCTGTGTACTTTAAGAACCAAAGTCCTCTAGTGAATATTTTTTATTGGTTTTACATTAACTTATAGGGTCCTTTCAAACTGCTTCACTACTAGGTACATGTATCATGTCTTTTAAATGCGTAGATTGTACTAGGAGACAGTCAGCATTTACAGCTTTGCTTATTATTTGCAAAACATACAGACATCTAAGCAAGAAGTGACACTAACCAATGTGAAACAACTATCAATGATTCTTAAGTTCAAATTTTTACCCACTCGGGTACCACACTTGGTTGAAAGAGGTCAACACTATGTATGGGAGAGAGGCAGTTGAGCATAGTAGTTAGGGGCCCAGACTCTAGAGCCAGACTGCCTGGGATCACATCCCAGCCTTGTCACTGACCATAGATAAATATATGCCTTACTGCTAAAATGTAGCTGAAACTTATTGGATTTCGTTAACCAATGTCACCATGAAATTAATTAATTCACTAATTAATTACTTAAAAAAAAAAAGCTGTTCAGGAAATGCTGTTAAACCGTCAAGTTTGGAAACCTCTGAGAAAGGTATTGAACGGCTTAACCAAGGGATACTCATTGTTATGGACTGAATTGTGTCTCCTGAAAATTCATAAATTGAAACTCTAATCCCCAGTGCCTCAGAATGCAACTGTATTTGGAGACAGAGCCTTTAAAGAGGTAATTAAGTTAAAATGAAGCCGTTAGGGTGGCCCTAATCCAATGGGACTGGTGTTCTCATAAGAAGAGGAGATTAGGACATGCAGAGAGACATCAGGAGTACGTGCTCACAGAGGAAAGACCATGTGAAGAGACAGCAAGAGGGTGGCCATCTGCAAGACAAGGAGAGAGACCTCAGAGGAAACCAACCCTTCTCATCCCTTGATCATGGAATCCCAGCGTCTGGAACTGTGAGAAAATAAATTTCTGTTGGTTAAGCCACTCAGTTTGTGATATTTTGTTACGGTAGCCCTAGCTAACTAATAAACTTGTCAAGATGATAAAGGACTGTCTGTAGGGAGACAATGAAGGAAATTCAGGAATTATTTTTGGAAGAATTATTTGAAAAATGAAATGGTTTTCCCTCCTTCCAAGTCAGATTTTCATTGTCTTTCAGCTAAGATGACATCTAAAGTTTTAAGTATTAAATTGCTGCCTATGATAGAAGAAAATAAAGAGGGACTAATCATATTACATTAGTGGTAAATATAAGGAGAGCTTGAATAAGGATGGACTTCTGGTTATTTGCTGTGGAAGTGAAATCCACAGCAAATAACCAGGCATCGTAAGGTTTAAATCCAGTCTTATCACTGTCTTTTGGGATTTAATTCTGGCCTCACCTCTGCATGACCTCTCTGAGCTTCAGTATCCTTACTTATGTAATAGATATAATAACAGCAGTAGTGGTGAGGATTGAATAACATAACAGGCCTAAAGCTCCTACTACATAGTCTTTAAAGGAATGGTGGCTATAACTGCAAGCAACACATTTCTGGTTTAATTTCTGAATTCTAGAATTCCTTTGAGAGATGTGAAGATGCTATAAAGATAATTGCATTTGGGGTAACACTGATTTATATTTGTGATTATATTCCACTGCTGGATATATTTTCCCTTATAACTGCTTTAAGATGGTGATGGGGTCACCAGTGACTGTCTCTCTCTCTGTCTCTCTGTCTCTCTGTCTCTCTCCCTCTCTCCCTCCCTCCCTCTTCCAATATTGGCCATTATTTAATCTCTGGGGCTCATTTGGTCTGGGAGATAGCGGGAGGGAAAAGAAAGAAGTCAGCTGTGGGCCAATCTGGTTATCCTCAGCTAACCCTGAGAAGACTGAGATCATCTATTATCTGTAGCAAAACAGAAGTGACTCCAGAGCAAAGTGACCACAATGAGGGAAGTAGAGCCCCTGTCATATCCTGGGTGGGCATCCAAAGACCATGGGATAAACTCCGTACCTGGATATTTCTCTATTTGCCTCTCAAATCCATTTTCTGCCCTGTAATGTCCTGCTCTGAGGTTGACCTCCAATGACTTCATCATCCAGGCTCCCTTGCCTTCTGACTTCCCACTGGCCAAACGCAGTGGGAGGATTGGCAGTAGGAATCAGGGAGCCACTTCCCTTCCTGATAATGACTTTTTTCCCTATATCGAAGGCCCCCTCTCCTACAGCCACAAGTACAGCTCTACTGCCACAGCTCTCAGCAGGTTCCAATAACAGCTCCCTTCCTTGTGCCTTTTGGTCTAGGGGTGGAATATTTTCCTGCTTTTTGGGAGGGATGGGAGTGGGGATTATGACACCATATTCTGGTTAATTTTAAACAATCTTTCATTGAACTTTCTTCAGTTACCTCTTTTAATATTCCATGTCTTCCCTGTCATGACCCTGATTATTGATATATGCCTGTTTATATTGCTTGATTCCGTTTGATTCCTAAGTGTCTAAAACTCATTGATCTTCAATGCTGGACACAAATTTACAGTAAAGTTCTCTCTCTCACTTCCTCTTCTCTCTCTCTCTCTCTCTCTCTCTCTCAGAACACACTGCCTGCCAACACCATCACACATAGCCTTGGTGATCCAGCCTCATCTAGAAACCAGGTGTCTAATTGCCACTTGGTGCGTCCTCACCGTTTTGTGAACAGAGGTAGTCCACTAGATACCTGTCCCACATCTATCTTAATTACCAGAGGACTTACAGATGTCTTTTGTTGTTGATGTTGTTCTTTCAGAACTCCTGTTTTGTGCTAAGATAGTCCAGGAGTATTTCTCCCACAACCCGCCAGCCCAATCACCTATTAGCACTCTGTCTTGCTCTCAAATCTCTAGGCAGCAATATAAGACCCATCTCATCCTAGGTACCAGGACAACAGGCACAGATCCCAGACAGGCAGGATGGTGAGTTATAAAACAACAGATGCTGGAGCCAGACTGCCTCAGTTAGAATCCCTGCTCCATTACCAACCAGCCAGTGACCTTGGGTAAACGAGAAACTCTCAGTGCCTACAATTTCTTATCTATAAAACAGAGGTAATAATTACACCTACTTCTTGAAGATTTGTTGTGACTTTAAATGAGACAATGCATATAAAGCACTTAGAATGATATTTACATGGCATAATAAGTTCTATATAATGACTAATTTGTTAAAAGCTCCTGCCCTTTATATTTTGGGGGACCCTGGTTACCACTAGTGATTGGTGGGCTGGAGAGAGACCAGCTGGACATATCCTGGGGGCAGTTTGTTTCTGTGGGCTTCTCTGTTTTGCTGGCTCCTTGGGCTCACAGCCCTGGAACTGGCCAGCACAGCAAAGGGTGGGGAAAAGGGTCTTCAAGCCAGCTAGCCACCTGCCCTCCTGTTCCCGAAGCTGCCTGGAAATGACAGCACGCTGTAGTGAAACATCTGCCCACAGAGTAGAACACATCACCTGGTAACTAGAGAACAGGACCCCAAAGAAATGATTTCCTTCCTCCCTCTGGCTGTAATCAAAAGCGATGAAAAGAGGCAGAGCTGCTGGCACTCTCTCTGGCAGGGAAAAAAAAAAAATCTGCTGGTAACCATGGAGACCATGAAAAAGACCTTCAGGGAGCCCTGTGGCTGCTTTCAGAAGAGATCACTGCTTGCCTTCCAACTCTAGCATGCGCAGCATTGTACAAATACAACCCTGTTCTCTTTGGAGATTCGACTTAATGATCATGCCCCCTCTTTCACAGAGGTGCCCTCTGAGTGTCCCAGCCAAGGAAGCAAGAAAAGCCATGGGGAGCTGAAAGGGAGAAAACCTGGACCTGCTGAGAAGCTGAAGGTTCAAAGCAGGAAGGGAAATCGTGAGATAAATCCTGTGCCCCTTTGCTTTGGTCCATCCGACTCGCCTTCCTGTTCATAATTATAAATCACTTATCCTTGCATCAGTTTAGATCTCCACTGAGTTGTAGCTTAGCGAAGGCTATCTATGAGAACTGACTGGTTTGCTAGTGAATTGTCTCCATCAAAAAACCAAATCCCTCTGGAGGCAAAAGGCTAATTGAAGTGTCTCCCAGGCTTGTTTATAAGCAGCTTCAGTTTGAGGCTTTGTTCTAAATAACCTCCAGCAAACTTTGAGTGGAAGGAGCATGCTTCCTAACAGTTAGTGGATTTTAAAACAAGTATGAATACCTGAATACAAGGCCACAATGTGACCCATACATATGCTTGTGATTAGGGGAAAAATACATTAACAAAGGTAGGAAAATGAGTTTCAGGGGAGCTGAATGGTTGAGTTTGATGTTCACTGGCTTCTTCTAGAGTCTAGCAACCATCTATGTCCCAGAGTGGATACGAATAGGAGCACAGTTCATACCCTGATGGCATTTATAGTCAATGTGTACGTGTCAGTGGGTGCAGGACTGCACGTGCGTGCACCTGTGTGTGTGGACCTGTGCACACTAAAGTGAAGAAGTTGAGGGTATGAGCTGGTGGGGTGGCAGTAGCGGGAATTCATTCTTTAGTACTAGATACATAGTATTTCTTTATTTCCATCTATCTTCCGTCATCATGATTATGGTCATTACCATTGATATCACCCTCATCATCACCACCACTTACTGAACACTAATAATTGACAGTGTTCAGTGTATTCTTCACATTTTCTCATTTTTTTTTCCTGCCTACTTACCTATGAGGCAAGTACTGTATTATCCCTATTTTTCAGAAAAGAAAGTGAGCCGAGCCTTGGCATGTTAACTTGCCCTGGATAATGTGGTCGGTAAGAGATGGAGCTGGATTCAAACTCAGTCAGTCTGACTCCTTAGCTGGCACTTCTGGCCATTTCTTTCCTCAATCTCAAAAGGACTTTAGGTGGTTTTTAGATACATATAGTAAAACAAGATTACAAGTGATGAAACTAGGCAAAGAGAAAAGAAGGGCATGGCAAAGACGATGTAATTATGGTTCTACATGTATGCCAGAGGTGGGACACAATTGGACTTGGAGGACTTTGAGATTTCCACACAACAAAGAGAAAAACATGATCATATGTCACAGTGTCCACACAATATAAATAAAAAATAACTTATTGGGAAAAGCATAGCAATTCCTTTTCCAGTAATTTTTTTTCTTGTTAATTCTCGTAAAGGATTTTTGGATGCTATAATGAACAAAATATTTCCTGACAATGAGATGATAAGAAGTTTCATAAGGCTGTTTCTTATAGGGCCTCTCAACGTAAGCAGAGGGTTAATGACAAAACGTGTCCATTAAAGTAAGTTCTACAGGGTCTACAACAGTGAATCCTGGGAGCACAGCAGACGCACTGCTAAGTTACTTATCTTCATACATGCACTATGAAATTAATTATTTTCTTGGTGCTTCAGTTTCCTCATCTATAAAATGGGGATACAGGGATACAGATATAACCTACCATATAGATGTGTGGTATGGATTAGATGAGACAGTACATGGAAAGCACCCAGGACGTGGTACATAGTCAGCGCTGTTTCCTCATCATCACTGTTGTAAGTGCAGACCTATATGCTTTAGTGGTCGGCCAAGGTGGCCTGAAGTTGCGTTCACTTTGGAAAGTTAAGCAGTCAAACAGGTTTGCATGGCCTAGTGAACGGCCACTCCCTTCTGCATTATGATTGTAGGATTAGGAAATACTCACAAGCCAGATGATTTTTTTTCCCCCTCAGAAAGCAATTCTGAGTTCATGCTGACACCTAAGTGGGTGTGTGAAGCCCAACTTCTCTGCTATGAAGCACGGCGCGATTAATTTCTGCTTGAAACATTTAATACAGATGTTATCAATCTCTGTGTGGCCATAAAATTTCTCAGTAAAATAATGATAAAATATCTAATTTTAAGCAATGTAATTCCATAGGGACTCCTTCAAGGCAAGCTAGTTTAGAACGTTCTCTAGGTAATAAAACCAGTTGATTTGCTATGTGGGTTATTAAGGTCTAACCTAATTCATTTTTGGAGAACACTGACCAGAAATGATGATTTTGGTTTTGGAGTAGTTAATCTTAAACTTTGGATTTTATTAGTTATCATAGCTGGCATTACCATAACTAAAACAGGATTTTATCTTCTAGGATCAACTAAGTATCCATTTAGGACAACAAAACTACATTATCAGCACACAGAAGGATGTTTATTTTTCTGACTTCAGCTCTTCTGAAGGTGGTGGCTGAGTCATTAGGTACAATTTCTAGAGAAGGGGAAGCCAGAACTCTGTGTTATCTCAGTTACAGTAATTTAATGTAGATCCTAGAGAGTCTAGTGTCATTGCTGGGCATAATAAGAAATAGACTAACAGGTCCACATAAGAGGAAGTATAGTTGGATTGGTTTTTTAATTTACTATTGCAATGATTTCAGATAATGAGGTTAATCTACAGACCAAATTGACCTTGAGTGTGATTTTGACTGACAAGGCTTAGTTCATCCTTGAGGTGCAATGGCTTGATGGCAGAGACAGCTTTTCACCAAAATTCATGCCCCTCTTTACTGTATTGGAGTCATTCTTGGTAGGTGGATTCTTGGTAAATGACTAGTCATTTACTAAAGGAACGCAAGCCGAAGTGAATTGTGTCATTTGCATGCTGAGGTTTTAAAGAAATAAGTGAGGCTTCTCTATTCTCCTCTTTCTCTATTTGCAGGCTGAGCAAAGAGGATTCTGTGATCCTAGGGGATGAGAGAGCCAGAGATGGAAGAAGCTTGGGTCCATGAATCACCATGTGGAGGGGAGCCACCCTTCTAACCAGGAACAACTACAATGAGCAAACTTGTATTGTGTTAAAACATTGAAGCTTTGGGCTTTATTTAATATGACAGCTATAATTACTATTAAAGTAGGCATTTATCTTCCAAGTCACGTAGATTTTGAAAAGACCACTTTGAGTGAGGCAGGTTAAGAGCTATGAAGTATTGTAAATCAAGGCAGAATAGTCTTAAAAGATACACTAAACATTTTCAAAAGATTACTTTTTGAAAAACAGTATGATTTTATGACTAAATATTTTTGTGGGTTGTCTAGAATTATCATCCTTTCTTTTTTTCCCCTAATTCATCAAAAGGACTCATCCTTTTATGATGTCTATTGATTGTTAGCTCTGAGATTGCTATTTCTTTTCTAAACTTCCTTGTTTTGTTGGGCTTTGAGTAAATCCTAGTTTTCTGTTATTCCTGGATTTAATCCAATGATAACAAGAGGCAAGGCTTGGTTAGGAATAGTCTTGGAATTTTCCAAGCCCTTTTATTTTAGTGTAAAACATATTGAAATGAAAAAATCCTGTTATCTCTCAACCTGGAAGAGGCCTTGGTCTCCTCAACTCCCACAGAGCTTTAGTTTTAGTTTTGGACGCAGGGCATAGAGGATGAGGCACCCAGTGTGTGCCCCTTGTGGTGTTGGACTGTGGCCGAGCTCTTGAGAATGCTCAATTCCTGTCAGAGTCATGTTCTGTGCAGCTGAAGCTGGGGAAGCACCCAGAATGTTGTCGATTCCATAACTGGAAACGCTATTACCAGCTGCTTGGAGGGGCTTTCAAGAGATTAGAGACCGAAGCCATTTAAACACACAGGATTGGGGAAGCTACGCTTGGTCTGTATAAAATTTTTTCCTCTGTTGCTCAATTGTCTTAAAAAAATGTGATCTTCTCAATCATCCAATTTAGTTGAGTATGTTTCTTCACATGGTTCCCAGCAGCACACACTCTTGGGTTTCCTTCTAACCCACTGGTCTCCTGTCTCAGTCTCTCTGCTGGTCCTTTGCCTCGTTTCAACCCATAAATGTTGGCATGACTCTGAGTTCAGATATTAAACTTTCTGCCCAGTCAGTACTCTTTTACCTTGTTTGATTTTCTTCGTGGCACTCATCACTATTTTAAATTTTCCTACTTATTTGTTTAGGAGTGTGCCATTTAACTCCGCTAGAGCATCAGCTCTCTGAGGTCAGAGTTGCTGTCCTGCTTACTGTGGAATTACTTAGACCTAGAACAATGCTTTGCCTATGATAAGCACCTACTAAGTAGTTATTGAGTTAATAATTGATTAACTGGATGAATATATGAATTCAGATGATGACAAATAGCCTTTCTTCTTAAATCAGATTAGGAGAAAAGGGTTTGATCCATTAGAGTTTAGAATTATTCCAGGATGTTTTATATTTTGATTTATTAAGAAGTAGTCCTGTCTGCTCCAACTTAAAAAAAAAAAAAAAAAAAAAAAGGAGGGAAAAAAAAAAAAAAAAAAAAAAAAAAAAAAAAAAAAAAAAAAACAGATAAAAAAAATAATATAAATGTAAGGAAAAACTGGAACCACCGGGGTAGAGCAGCTGCTTTGAAAAGCAGTGGCAGTGCAGTGGCAGACGGCCATTCTTATCTGGGATATTGTGTTTGGCACCATTTCTGAGCAGACTCACACAGCCTTCCAGCCAGCCCTGAAATATGAGAACAACCGCGTCGTTATATAACACAATCTCGCATCACATAGTCCAACAAACTTTCCCTAGTTTTTTTCCCCCCCTTTCTTCTTTGGTTTGGCTAAAAACATATTTTATTTGACTTAAGTGATTAAAGCACAATTCTAATTTAGACAGAGGGCTGAAGGTCTTGAGGGGTGGATTCCCAAGTTTTCTGGAGGAATTTTACCCAGTCAGATGTAGAATTCCTCGACTCTCTCTTCTTTCTCTCCTTCCCCATTTCTAGGGTTACTCATTGGTATTCTCAGTTCCTAGGGCATGTGATAGGGGGTGATTAATCAGTTCTAGTCTCTCATTCTATGTGCTTAGCTTCAAATCATGCTTGTCAATGGTCTGACCCGAATGCTATGCTCTAATTCCAAAATTTGGGCTCACGTGTCATTCTTGAGCCCCAGCCTCCACTCTATGCCTCAGTTTACGTATATCTGATAAACAGGCCTTGGTTCTCCTTTCCACATTCCCTTTCTAGTAACCACAAGGACAATATCTTGCTCATTCTAGTCAGTCCTTCTCCTAATGCTTAGAATCCTAACCCGAGTCCTACTTCACCTTGTTGATTGATTTTTCTGACGCTGAATTTGGGAATATCACCAGTGCCTTCTAAGGGTTCACCATTGCTTTGTTTTACTCACTTATAAATTCCCCAAGAAACTTCTTGTGAACTCGTTGCTGTCTACTAATTCTCCAGATTGAGACTGATATCGCCACATTTCATGCTTGTCCTCTCCTTGGTTAGCACTTATAGCTGGGTCATTTCCCCACTGTCTCTCTCATTTCGAAGAGCAGATGTAATTGCAGGCTGGTCTCCCTTTCTGTTTGATAGTTCTTTAAGTAACTGACCCAGTCCTCCTGATAATCAAGTTTGGCTCATCTGCCAAGGAGAATGTCTCCTACATTCATTCATAACCACTTGGGTTACTCAAAAAAAAAAAACCAAAAAAAACAAAAAAAGAGAGATTTCTACGTAGATGACTATTATTAGTCATTAGTTGTTTCCCCCCCCTTTCTTCTTTGGTTTGGCTAAAAACATATTTTATTTGACTTAAGTGATTAAAGCACAATTCTAGAAGACTAATATGATAACATTCTCTCCGGCCTTCCTCTATTCATGTATAGTTAAGCCTCCAAATCACTTGGTGAATTGATATGATAATATCAGATAATATCAGACTAATATGATAACATTCTCTCCAGCCTTCCTCCATTCATGTATAGTTAAGCCTCCAAATCACTTGGTGAGATGAGAAAGAGGACTGAAGGTTTTCCTTCACAATATTGGAATCAATAAAAATCAAAATGTTCTTAAATGCATGGAGAAAAAGAAAGATAATGATGAAAAAATTTTTTGGTTCTGAAACGCCTGGAAAACTTTTCCAACAAAAGCGCAGTAAAATTCATAGGTTATAATATTGAATATGGTTTTGTAGAGTTAACCAATGATATCTAAATTGTAAGTAGAAGCAAATATTTTTCAGTCCTGACTGACTCATAGTTTACTAATGTAGTAAATCTGGTTTTAGTTGCAAATGTCAAAGTCATCAAGTTCTCTCATTAAGAGGGAAAAACATGATCAAGAGATCTGAAAGAAAGGCACACTAGAGAAAATTCAGACTTGCCAAATTTTAGAGTTGCCAAAATTTTACAGTTTTTGAAAAACAAATCTCATGGAGGAGGGTCTGGAAAATTTTTATCATTTTGCAATATTTCCTGGAACTACATGTACATTTGGCTTTCTTCCCTTCTTTCTTTCTTTCTTTCTTTCTTTCTTTCTTTCTTTCTTTCTTTCTTTCTTTCTTTCTTTCTTTCTTTCTTTCTTTCTTTCTTTCTTTCTTTCTTTCTTT